AAAGTCTGTGAATTTTAGATTTTTGTATATAATGTTCTGTATGTCCAGTAAGTTGTGTTAATCACATTGTTCAAAATTTACATAGTTTTATAAACATTTTTGTCAGCTTCTTCTATTACATATTTGTAGAAATGGCTAAAAATTCCCTCTATGATTGGATTTGTCTATCCCTGTTCGTAATTCTTCCATTTTTGCTTAGGTAATTTGAAGTATTGTTCTAAAGTGAATACGAATTTAGGATTTTTTTTCCCTCATTATGAAGTAACTCTCTTCCTTAAAGATTTTTACTGATAATAATTTAGCTCCAGTTTTGTCCTGCTTAGTATTTACATATTTCTTTCCATTAAAAGAAATTATCCTTTCCATAGCTTTGTGTTTTATGTGGTTAGTTCATAAACAGAGTAAGAAAGATAGTGTGGTGCACTGAGTTTCTTTATGTGGCCTTTGGCCTTGGTTCTTTGGAAAAACAGCTTGGGAGATTTTTCCCCCTAAACCCTGAGGAGTTATTACCTTTGCCCTAGTTCTTTGGAGAAGGAACTTGGGGACCTCCCAGGTTGCTTTCTACACCAGAGGGTTGTTACTTTTGTCCAGGAAATAAGCTGGTCTCTGCCAGCAGAAAATGTTATTTTTGTAGGAGACCTGAGTTGATTGACATCTCATAGGTAACTGATGATTGGTTGAACTCTAGTCTGGTGAGGGGGGTCCCACCGTGTAACTGAGGACTGGGATATATAAATGGCTAAAATGCAGACTTTTTAGAGGTCTTCTGGTTGACAGGAGCCAGGAGAGGAGCATGTTCTTTCGGGCACAGAGGCCCCTCCCAGGGCTGGTTTGAAAAAAAAAAAAAAAAGGCTGCAGCTGAAAAAGCTGCTGGCTAAGACCTGGGCTGGTTAGCTGAAAAAGTTACAGATGAGAGAGAGATTAGCTGAAAGTTTGGCTGACAGATAAGCAGAGCCATGTGAGGACTGAGCAGTCCTGAAGTTGATCTGGGTCAGTTAGCAGCAAAGAGGCCAACGTTAGCCAAAGCTGACAGCAGAGAGCAGCTGAGAGCTGTCCTGGTTAGAAGCTGTCCTGCACTGAAGAAGGGAGGGATGTGCTCTCCATTTTGGGGACTCTTCCAGACCCTGCCCATGTGCTTTCAGTTGTCGATCCCACGTTGTAGCCTACTACTTCCCTAATAAACCAAATAACTGTGAGTATGGTCTGCGAGTTCTGTGTGGCCACTGCAACACATTATCAAATCCAGCAGAGAAGTAGCGTGTGCAGTGGAAGGGATGACTGGTGTTAGAAATGAAGAAGTTGGAGAGCAGAGGTATGTCTGACCTCCACATCACAGGAACAGCTTTGTACTAATCCTAATTCTTACCTCTCATGAATTTACACAATTCCTTATGCTGCATTACACACAGTATTTTTGTTTTATATATCAAAAATCTGCAAAATTCAGACTTTTCAAGAACATTTCCCAAATTTACTATGTTCTGTGTTATAAAGTAAATATGAACATATTTCAAAGGCTTTTATTATAATACTGCTGTGAACATTTGCATACTACTTTGTGTGCAAATGTTTTCATTTATCTTGGGTAGATACCTAGAAGTGGTTCTAAACACACTTTGATGAACTGAAGATCACAAAAATTTCCCCCTATATTTTCTTACAAAAGGTTTATAATTCACAGGTTTATAGCTTTACCTTAGTTTTATAATCCATTTTGAGTTAATATTTTGTGTATGGCATGAGGTGAGAGTCGTCTTGCATGTGGATATCCAATTGTCGGGGCACCATTTGTTCAAAAGACTATCCTTTTGCAGTGCAATGCATCGCTTTTATATGGCCTTTCTTGCCAGTCTTGTAACTCCCACCAAAAGATTTGGTGGGAGTATGCAAACAAGGTGCTCATGGCCCACCAAGGGGATTCAACAGCTTGCTAATAATGCAAATAAGATGCATGACACCATTGTGGGGGTGGGATCATGCAAATAAGGTGTACGAAGCCCTAATGAGAGGATTGGTCAGTTTTGCCATCCCACTAGGATTAAAATGAATCATCCTACAGGTGGAAAGGAAGAAGCAATGTGAGCGAAGTTCATCCTTTAGATCCAAGATCCCTGCACTGTGACCCTCCTAGACCCAGGAGACAGAGACAGCTGAAACACCAGAGAGCTCGAGAAGCAGCAGCATAGAAATGGTGGCAGCAGAACAAGACCAGCAGGAGATAGCATGGTGGGCTTCCAGGCCCATAGAACGAGAGAGCTGAGCACCTTTGGACAGGAGGCTTGCTGGTAGAGTGGGGTGCCCCTGGGCACTTATTGGCAGAGCTAAAGAGCCTTGATGTAAACACTTGCCTGAGCAGGGCAGAGACTGGGCCGAGGGGCCAAGGGCCAGAGAGAGGCTGGCCTATAGGCAACAACTGAGAAGAGGCTGCCCTGATCAAAGAACTATATCCTGAGTCACTTCTGCTCCTGAACTGTAACCTGTTGTTTCCCTAATAAGCCCCATAAACATGAGTATTGTCTCTGAGTTGTGTGTGGCCATTGCAATGAATTATCATGCGAGGAATGGCTGGTCTCAGAATTGGTAAAAAGGTTGGAGAGAGGAGGCATGTCTGACCTCCACCTCATAGGAATCAGTCTTGGGCTGTTGATGCTGATAATGATTCTCCTTCCCCCTTGTGAAGTTAGGTCTGATACCTCCACCACATCATTTTTACAACTTTCTCCCGTGAACTGCCTTGCATCTAATATTGATTTTTTTTAATATTCTTTTTTCATGGTTAGCATTACCTAGTGTTTGTCAGTTATGTTACTATTGTCAAAGAACCAATTTTTGGCCTTGCTGATGTACTCTATTATGTCATTGTTTTCTATTTCACTAATTATTGCTCTTTTCTTTATTTCCTTTCACCTGTTTTGATTTACTCTGCCGTGCTTTAGATCATTAGTTTTCAACATTTCAAGAAAAAATTAGCTAGAAAAATCATATAATTTTGGAAATTAGGAAACTGTAATGTTCTAGTAGTGCCTGAAGTCCTCTAACTTCAGGAGGAAGACAGAGAATAACCATCAGCCCAAGATAATTCTTATGAGGTCAGACATACCTCCATTCTCTAACCTTTTACCAATTCTGACACCAGCTGTCCTCCCCAAGGCACTCTCTACTTCTCTGCTGGGTTTGTTAATTCATTGCAACAGCCACAAAGAAATTACTGACCATACTTATAAAGTGGTTTATTAAGAAAGTAACAGGGTACAACTCAGGATCAGGATCAACAGGCTACAACTCCAGATCAGGATCAGGAAGCATGTAGGCAAAGTCTGTGAGGCTCCCCTTAAGTGAAGAACACATCCCTCCCTTCTTCAGTGAAGGACAGCTCTCTCAGCTCCTCTCAGCTGAGCAAGCAAGCAGGCCCTTCTCTCTTCCATGCACGCACCCTCTCAGCAGGCCTCCTCTTGGCCATGCATGTACCTTCTTAGCTGTGCAGGTCTCCTCTCGGCCCCCTCAGGACAGGCCTCCTCTTGGCAGTGCATGCCCCCTCTCAGCCATGCATGGCCTCTGCCTTCGGCCTCCCTGCTCTTTTCCTCTCCATTGCTAACTGACCCAGCTCATAACCAGTGCAGCACTTTTGTTCAGCTCTCTTAGCTAGATTCCAAGCAACAGGTTTCTGCTGTCACCACTGACTGCCACACACGGCTTCTTCCAGGTGGGTTGCTGCTGGCTCTGCTGCAGGGCCCCTTCCAAGCCTCTCTCTTCAGTGTTACAGCTTTTGACCTGTGGTATAGCTCTTTTAGGAGGTTCCTCACCTCCTCTCTCTCTCTGCTTCTTGCCTCTCTTGCCTTTTCTCCTTTTTGCTTCTTTCCTGTCTGCAAACCTCTGTGGGGTTGGCTGCATATGTAAGCAAACTCCTGATCAGTTTCAAGGCATGCTCCTCCCACCAGGGGCCACAAACTGACCAATCCCCTCTCAGGAGGCCACAGTCACTTCATTTGCATAGTAATCTATAGTCACTTCATTTGCATAAGTATACTGACCAATCCCAGCAAGCTACATAAAATCACAGGGCAGGCTGCAGCCCAGGGCCAAAGAAAAGCTATCAAACCACAAGTTGTTTACAGCATACCTAGGAAATATCAATCAATCTGGACAAAAGTAACAAATCCTCTGGGGTAGAAAACTAGGGCAAAGGTAACTCCTCAGGGCTTAGGGGGAAAATCTCTCAAGCTGTTTTCCAAAGAACCAAGGCAAAAAGTCACATAAGTGAACTCATTCCATCAGAAATAAATTTGAGATATCTCACAAGCCAAAGAAATACTTAAATTGCATCTAACATTTGATTACTGTTATCATTGTTGTTCAATTTTTAAAATATTATTTATTCATGAGTTACTTGGTTTGATGTTTCCCTTGTTACCTTTTTATAATTCATTTCTAATTTAAGTGAAATGTTGAGAATGCCAGCTGTATGATACAATACTTGCTTTGTGGCCAAATAAGTGGTTAGTTTTTATAATTATTCCATGTTTACATGAAAAGAATTTGTCTTCTACACTACTTAAATGGAGTGTTCTATATGTCTATTAATCAAAGATTGTTAATTATGTGAGCTGGGAAGGAAAGCAGGGTTCTTTCCATCCAATGACATATTCAAAACAGGCAAGTTTCCTTGTGCCTCTTCTGCATTGTGATTATTTTTCACTCTCAAATAGAAGGCTTAATTCTTTGGGAATCTCAGATGGTGTTTCCTGTAATTACCTGTCTTGGGCAGGTCCTGGGCTTTATATTCTGTTCACTAAAACCTTGTAAAGTTACCATAGTGCAAAATTGGAATACAAGAATGAAACTGAACTTGTACCAGGATTTACCGAAAGGTCAGCAGTTTGAATCTATCAGGTGCTCCTTGAAAACTCTATGGGCAGTTCTACTCTGTCCTATAGAGTTGCTGAGTCAGAACTGACTCAACGGTAATAGGTTTGGTTTTTGGTTTACCAGGATCTACGTGTTTCTTATTTTTTATTTTTTGCTTACCAAGTCAGGTCACTTCATTTGCATACTGACCAATCCCTACAAGGTATGTAAAATATACCAATCACAGGCTGATTCAACAGCAATGTTATTTGGTTTTGGGTTTTTACTAAGCCAGGTAAGTTATCTAAACTTCAATTTTAAGTTATATAAAAGTAAGTGCACCAGCTGGCAAAGGAGAAATGTTTACAACATCCAAATCCAGGGACTAAGAAGGGAAGATTTGTGTCTGAGAAGCAATGCATTGATAACACACACAGATATACTGGATGTAACCTTATGCAACTAGTTTTTGCACTGTAAGTTGGTGACACTCATTTCTTTGATGTATGTGGCTGAGCCATATATTTTGCTGTTTTTAGTATTCTAATGTATGAATACGTATTTCATGAACTTGCACATTCAACATAATTAGCAAGACTCCCCCTTCCTTTTTTAGTAGGCTGAAACATTTTCTGTATCTTCACGTTTGTAACTGGACTTCTTAAAGAGCAACTTTGACTACTTCTAGAATATTGGGAAGAGCACTTTACACACTTCTTCCTGTGCCGTTATCGACTTCTCTGCAAAGGAAGAATAGTGTGGTTATCATATTTGTGAGTTATCAAAAGTTTCTGTATGGCTAGTCTAGTCTCCCTTTTTCTGTATTTGGGTTAGCCTGTCTGCAGTATGAAGACAGTTTCTTAAATCTGCTGTCATGGTGGTTAGCACCATTGGTAGGGGATGCAGGGTGAGCCTTAACAAGGTACATATGCAGACTATTTTTTCTCAGTCTCCACTGTGGAAGGATGATGAGTGTGAGTCAGCTGCTTGGATCAAAGTGTGTCTGAAATGAAACTGAGACTACCTTTAGGAGTTATATCCAAATTACTAGATTTTGGTGGAAAGCAGTAGGAAGCACTTGACTGTAAGTCCAAGCCACATTCCCCACTTGAGCAATACCACCAACAAAATGACATTTCAGTCTTCATTTCCCTGAAAACATTAGCTGTTCCACTTTTTAGAACTCATTTGGAGACAGAAGAGCTGTGATTAATCATCACTTTTAAATCTCGATATTTTTAATGAGTATTTTTTCTGAGAACCAGAATAAATTTTGTTTTTTTAAAAAAAGCTTGGTGTTATTATTCAAAAGCGTTAAAGAGGACTACCAGATCCATTTACATATATCAACAATCAGGAAAACAAAGGTATGTGGTGGTGTATTGCAGAGTTCTTGTTTAATGGTAAGCTTGACTACATCTCTTGCAATTTATATGATCTACAAATTTAAAGTACTGGCATTTTTTTTGGTGGTTACTACACATAAAAACTGGAAGAGGAATTTCACGGCTAACAATTTTCTTTCATTATCTTGTGAAATTTAAAAATTGCTATATAGATGTTCTACAAAAACACTCAAGACACAAAGCAAGTACATACATCTGGGACCGATCTTTATTTACTGCTCTGACTATTCTGTATACCCAAACACGTAACAGAGTGTTATTTACCACACTGATGCTATGTTCTCTTCATAACTGACTACTTAGTGTTGTTTTCTATATATATGATAATGTAGCAGAATGAGGATTTGTATTACAAAATTGCTTATACATGAACAACAGTCTCCAACATCATTAATTATATATTTTTCCTCAATAAATATTACCTGATCCACAATAAGGCTGTACTTCATGTCAGAAGCATCCCCATTCACAGGTCTTCAGTCATCTGTATTCTTTGGTACGAAAAGAAAAGTTATTTACTGGAAAGGTGTTTCAGCATTCACAGCATCGGTGGGATTTTTCCTCAGGGAAAACTGTCTAATTTGTGATGAGCTATGTTTTTTGAAAAGTGTTTCAACATTTGTTGCACTCAAAAGATTTCATTTCCATGTAATGTATAATGCAATTTCTCAAGACAAGATTTCCATCATCTGATTTATTCATATTGTCTTTCTTCTCTATAATTTCCCTGATAAAATATGAGGCTACATTGTTGGGAGACAATTTTTCATGTTCACTACATTTAAAAGATTTCTCTCCTGGTTGAGTTTTCTGATGCTTACAAAGTCTAAAATTATTGGAAAAGTATCCCAACTCTCACTGCATTCGTAGGGTGTTTCTTGTGTGAGTTCTCTTGTATTCAAGATTTGACATCTCACAAAGTCTTTCCAGCCCTCACTGTGTTCCTAAGGTTTCTTTCCTGTATGAAATTCCAGATGTGAAGTGAGAAAAAACTTGACAGAGAAAGTTTTTCCACACTCATTACATTGGTAGGGTTTCTCTGCTGTATGACTTCTCTGGTGGACACTGAGGTATGATTTTTCAAAAAATGCTTTCCCACATTCACTACACTGATATGGTTTTTCTCCGGTGTGACGTCTCTGATGTCTAATGAGCTGTGACTTTTGGTTGAAGATTTGCCCACATGGAATGCATCCATATGGTTTCTCTCCAGTATGGCATCGTTGGTGAATAATAAGATGGCTTTTTTGTCGGAAGGCTTTACCACATTCATTGCATCCATGGGGTTTCTCTCCTGTATGAATCAGTTGATGTCTACTGAGCATTGCCATACTGCTAAAGGCTTTCTGACACTCAAGACAGACAAAGGGTTTCTCTCCTGTATGTGTTCTCTGATGTACAATGAGCACTGCCTTTTGTATGAAAGCTTTTCCACATTCACTGCATTCATAAGGTTTCTCTCCTGTATGAGTTCTTTGATGGACAATGAGATGTGACTTTTCTATAAAAGCTTTTTGACAGTCACTGCATTCATAAGGTTTCTCTCCTGTATGAATTCTCTGATGAGTTACTAGGGATGACTTTTTATTAAAGGCTTTCCCACATTCTTTGCATTCGTAGGGTTTCTCTCCTGTATGAGTCCTCCGATGGACAATAAGCTGTGAATTGTCTATAAAAGCTTTTCTGCATTCACTGCATTCATAAGGTTTCTCCCCTGTATGAATTCTTTGATGCGTTATGAAGTGTGATTTTTTATTAAAGGTCTTCCCACATTCCTTGCATTCATAAGGTTTTTCTCCTGTATGAGTTCGCTGATGTACAATGAGCTGTGACATATGTACGAATGCTTTTCCACGTTCACTGCATTCATAAGGTTTCTCTCCTGTATGAATTCTCTGATGTGTTATGAGGTGTGAGTTTTTATTGAAGGCTTTCCCACATTCGCTACATTCATAAGATTTTTCTTCAGTATGAATTCGCTGATGAACAATGAGCTGAGACTTACTACAGAAGGCCTTTTCACATTCTTTGCATCCATAGGGTTTATCTCCTGTATGAATTCGTTGATGAATAATCAGGTTTGACTTCTGGATGAAAGCTTTTCCACAATCACCACACTTGAAAGGTTTCTCTCCTGTATGAGTTCTGTAATGTAATCTAAGTTTTGTCTTCTCCCTGTAAGCTTTTCCACATTCTTTGCATTCATAGGGTCTCTCCCCTGTATGAGTCCTCTGGTGTAGAATGAGGTGATATTTTGTTCTGAAGGATTTCTGACACTCGATGCATCCATATGGTTTCTCTCCTGTATGAATTCTCTGGTGCAGAGTGAGATGACATTTTGTGCTGAAAGCTTTCTGACATTCACTGCATCCATACGGTTTCTCTCCTGTATGAGTTCTCTGGTGGATTATGAGCTTTGACTTATACCTGAAGGACTTTGGACATTCACTGCATTCATAAGGTTTCCCATCTGTGTGAATTCTGTGGTGTCTTCTAACGTTTGTCATTATGTTGAAAGTCTTTACACATGAATTATGTTCGTAGTATTGTACTTGACGGTGGGATTTTTCATGTTGAGTGTGGAAAAATGATTTCCCAAGGCCATTTAACTCATCACAGTTCATTTCTGCGTAGTTTTTACTCTGAAAATTTGAATCTGAATTTTGTTTCAAATTTATTCCTTTTGAGACACATTTATAGGGTCTGTCTATTAAAGGAACAAAGTTTTTGCTCAGAGAAAATATCTTCCCCAATGTGTTACTGTCATGGTCTCTGTCCACAGGTTCATCCTTCTCAATATTTTCCTGATAGCAATCATAAATTTGCCAGATTACTTCTAGAAAAGAAATCAATGAATCCTACCATTATCATGAATTGAAGAGGGATGGAATCTCAAGTCAATTTTCAAAGACAATTCAGAAAGTGAGACACAATGGAAGTCTGAGACATGTGATAAAGGAAAGAGGTAATACATAATGAATTGAGAGACACTGGTGTGCTCAAACTCGGGAAAATTCTATAAATATTTGAAAGCATAATAGAAGAGGTATATGAATATAAATAAGAGATATGAGGGGTCTAGATCTGAACCAAAGTAGATATAAGGAGGTACATCTTCTCCTAAGTGGCTCCTAGAGGAGAATCCTATATGGAAGGCTGGTAAACAGAGAAGACATCATTCATACTGAACACCTTTTGTCACTCGTTCTAAGGTTCAGAGACCATAAGAAAAAGTACTTATAAAATTTAACAAGGGTTCCAACCCATCAATGACCAACTGGTACTTTAATTCCACTAATTCTCACTGCATTAGTTTCACTGACCTGGACTGCACTGACTTGGGAATTCCTTCTCTACTATCCCTTGTTCATCTCCTTTTTCTAATTGGACAATCGCTTCTGGCTTGGTGGCTTGATAACCTGTGGGTAATCACAGAGAACCTGAACATGATTTTGGCCTCTCAGGAAAATTCTGTTTCAGGGAATGCAGTTAAATCTCAGCAAAATAAAAACTTTTTGTTTGGAAAATGAAAATACATACAGTCACTGTCTGACCACAAAGAAAATAATTTCTATCATTTATAAAAGTCAAGTCCAAAATCATTGAGGAAATCAGAATACAGGTAGTCCTCGACTTACAGCACATTTGAGTTATGAGGAACTGCACTTACGACTGCTTTTTTTTTTAATATACATCTTATCGTTAGTAGAATGTACTATACACAATGTTGCACTGCGTAATTTGCTAAAGTTATCATTCTCAGAAGTTACCTTACAGATGTTCAATGTTATGATTTACTGTTCAAAACACTGCCAAGTAGCAGGCAATAAAAGAAAAAAAACCAGGTGTTTGACTTACATCAGAACCAACTTCTGAAATAGTTGTCAGCCCCTGTCATAAATCAAGGGCTACCTGTACTCATAAATTGTAGCAATATAAAAAAACAGGCAATTAATGGACTTATGCTGAGATACTTGGCAAAAATGTCCTTACCCAATGACATTAGATTGCTATAGTTTTCCAACATCACATCCCAGTAGAGGTTCTTCTGAACAGGGTCTAGTAGCTGCCACTCCTCCCAGGAAAAGTCCACAGCCACATCATTGAATGACAATAAACCCTGTAATAAGGTGTTTCATTTTAATCTGGAGTTAATTTCATGGAATAAAGTGTAAAAAACCCAGAGGAATTTATTCCAAATATTTTTACTATGGAAATTATATGCACAGACTTCTGTTTACCTAGTTTTGTTTTATAATTTGTGAACTAAATTCATTAAAACTATCCTTTTTTTATGTTTTTTTTATTCTCTTCTTAACCGTTCATTCACCCAATGTAAAATGTCTTTAAAAATCTTAAACTACCTAAGAAACACCTGTAACCTATATAGAGAACATCTGTTACCCCACTATACATAATGCAACAAAAACATTAATAAAACATGGCCACGCTCCCAAGTAGCTTCTGATGTTTCAAAGAACAGCAAACATATGTGAAGGCATTATAGTTTAACAAGGGTTGTAACAGAAGTAGGAGCCATGGTGGCACAATTGTTAAGCGTTCAGCTGCAAACTGAAAGGTTGGTCATTCAAACCCACCCAGCAGCGCTGCAGGTGGGAAAAACCTGACGATCTGCTTCCATAAAGATTACACCCTAGAAAACCCTATGGGGGAGTTCTACTCTTATCATATGGGGTCATTATGAGTCAGAATTGACTCAATGGCACCTAACAACAACAACATAATAGAAGTATACTGAAGTTCAATTGTGGACATGAGTAAGTAGCTAAAGAAATACCTGTTCTAAAAAAGAGGTCAAGCAGGGATGTTGTGTCTATTATGATTAATAGTGTGTTTCATAAGAGGTAAAAGAGAATGGGGACAAGCGCATTCCAGAAGAGAGCAGTATGCATAGGTTATTAAGTACCATGCTGAGTTCAAGGAACTACAAACAGTTTAGTAATACAAGAAGAGAGGCTATGGGGGGGAGGACTGAAGAGAACAGATGCCAAAGGGACAGGCAGGAGTAAGTATTTGAGCAAATGTGCACATTTCCTGCAGATACTGGATAGACACTTCATTGTTTTTCATATATAGGAATATGGTACGCTCTGAACTGCTATTTAGAAATTGTGCTACAGATTAAATCATGATAGTGATAAAAATAAGCATGGAGCTCTTAGTATGTGCCATGTATCACTGAAAACATTTTAGGTATATTAACACAACAATCCTCACAATAACCCTTATGTCAGTACTGTTATTTTCTTCTTTTTATAGATAAGAAGAGATTAGAAAAGTTTTTTTTAGCTGTGCTTCTTATACCTCCCACATTTCCTTAAGATAACTTTACTGGGTCCATACTCTAGATCAGAAAAAATGAAGAGGAAGAGGAAGCCCCATCAAAGCCCCTTACTAATCCTAAGGAATTCATCTGCTTTATCCTATGGACAAAGTAAATCTTGAACTTTTTTAAATTCTTGTTACAGTTGCCAGTATTACCATAGAAAAAAGACTACAATTCAGCTTTGGATCTTGCTGCTTATGCGGCAAAATTCTAATTATTAGCACCGTGAAGGACCTTAAGACATGCAGATAGATCCGCCTTCCTGATTGGCTAGTGTTGATCTTCTGTCTCCCAGTCTAAGCACAGCCCTCCTAGCCACAATATATCTATATGGATTGTCCCATTTGACCATGTACACTGTTATGAACCTCCAGAAACCTACGGGGAAATAAACAGTTCACCTGGGACTTGATCATTTTCAGCAGCCCTCCGGAAATGGCCAGCATCCCTAGGATCTGTCTGCCCTGAAATTCTGGAAATGGTCTCTCATCAAAGGTATCCTCAGCAAGGATGAATTTCTGGACTTCAGATCTATTTTCTTCACTTGTAGGAGCTGTCTGTTTCTAGGAAGTCAGTACCTATGGAGGCAAACCAAGATTTGTTTTTATCTAGCAATAATAATAATATTAGCAAGTTACTACAGATGCAAAGGACTGTTTTAAGTGAATTATTGTCTCTTTTAATCCTCACAACAACCCTATAAAGTACAGACTATAATTAGTTCAAGGAGTCCTGTGGCGCAATGGTTAAGCACTTGACTGCTCAACGAAAGGTTGGTGGTTCTAACCCCCTAGCAGTTCTGCGGAAGAAAAGACTTCGTGATCTGCTCCTGTAAACAGTGCAGCCTAGGAAAGTCCTACTCTGTCCGTAGGGTCACTATGAGTCAGAATCAAATTGATGGCACACAACAACAACACAATTACTCCACTTGAGAGAAAACCGAGAATGGAAAGATCAAGCACCTAGCTGAAAGTCACACAGCTAGTAACTGGTGAAGCAAAGATTAAAACACAAAGCCTCTAGACTGATAAGATTCTGCTTCTGGACAGAATTACCAGAATTACCCTCCCATCTTAAATGACTATAAAAATAATGGAAAAATATCTAAAATAACTATTTTCAGACACACAAGGCAGAGAAGAAGGGAAACAAACAAGTTGAGCCCCTCATGTGCTACAGCTTACTGCCTGTGCAAACTCTCCAGGCCTCAGCACAGGAAGAAGCAACCCAAAAAGAATCTACAAGTCAAAGTTTGAGGAGGCAAAGAAAAAGGAGACAAAGACAGAGTGCATGCAGTCTATAAATATGCAGATGGTTCCTTTGAGTCTCTGATGAACCAACTATGAGGAACTAGGAAGGCCATGGAAAGAACACTGGCAAAGAACAGGTAGAACAATCCCTGGCGCTCACACAAAGTTAGGAATAGTTAGTGTTTCCATCAGCCAGGGTGGAAAGACCCACTAACACACAGGAACTTCAAATAGAGTCCTCAAAAGGGTATTGTCTCGGGAATAGGGCCAAAGTAATCCTATACAAAAGCATTTCTGGAACTGCCTAAGACAGCTTAAAAGCAAGCAGCACAAGATCAAACTGTTTCAAAATAACTACATCCCAGAAAAAACTTAAAATGTAGTTAAAGGAATACAACAAAATCCAGCAGCCAACTATGTAAAATTGACATTGTCTGGCATCCAATCCAAAATTACCAAGCACACAAAGAAGCAAGAAAATATGACCCATAACCAGGAAAAAAAAAAATTAAACAAGAGAAACAGACCAGATATGACAAAGGTGATAGAACTACCAAACAAGTACATTAAAAATGCTATTTTAGAATGTCAATATTATTGGATTGTACATGTGGAATTACTGAGATGGTGTATGTTTTGTTATGTATATTTTCACCACAATAAAATATAATAGCATTATAAATATAACTCATATATTCAAGAAGATAAAGCACAACCATCATGAGAAAAATAATAAATTGTTTAACAAATGCTGTTGAAACAATTGGATATCCATGTTTACCTCACACCACATGTAAAAATTAACTCAAAATGGATTATAAACCGAAATGTGTTAGTTAAAACTATTAGGAAAAAAGCACAGAAAAAAAAATCTTAAGTAACCTTAGATTAAGCAATTATTTCTTAAACAGGACATACAAAGCATGATTTAAGAAAAGAATTGGTGAATTAGATTTCATCAATACTAAAAAACTTCTGATCTTCAAAAAAACACTTTAAGAAATGAAGACAAGTAAAGCCTAAGTCTTGGATAAAATATTTGCAAAGCATATATCTGACCAATGGACTTCTATCCAAAAAATATAAACAACTTTTTCAACCCAGTAAGAAATGATCTAATTTAAAAAAACAAAGAGAAACATCACAAAAAAAAAAATAGAAATGGTGAAAAGGCACGTGACAAGTTGCTTTATGTTGGTTAATTAAAACCAAAATGAAATAATCACTACCCACCTACTAGAATGGATGCAATGAAAAAGACTGATATTACTAAGTATGGACAAGGCAGGGCTTCTAACTGCTTAGTTCCGGTTGGAACCCCTGCTGAGATTCTGCATCTCTAACAAGTTCCCAAGCGATGCTAGTACTGCTGGTTAGGGACCAATTCGGAGAAACACAGAGCAGTGGTTCTCAAAGTATCATAAAAAAGAATCAGCTGGGGATCTTGTTAAAATGTAGATTCTGATTCAGTATATCTGGGGGGTGAAAATGCAAATTTCAGCAGGGGTTTGAACCAGAATGAACTGGTTTGAAGCCCTGGGAAAGGATGTGAAGTAACAAGAAATCTTATGCACTGCTGGTGAAAATACAAAATGGTACAACCATTTGATTTGTATATGACTGTACACTGTAGCTTTATCCATAATATCCAAAATCTAGAAAAAATTCAAGTATTTATCAACTGGTGAATGGGTAAACATATTGTGGTATATCTGTGCCACTGAACATTACTCAGCAGTAAAAAGGAGTGAACTACTGATACATACGAAAACAAGGATAAATCGCAAAAGTATATGCTAAGTGAAAGAAACCAGACACCAAAGACTACCTATTGTATAATTCCATTTCTATGAAGTCCTAGAATATACACACCTATGGAAAGCACACAGTGATTGTCAGGGAAGAGAGAAGGGTGAATGTGATCAATTGCAAAGGGCACAAGAGAACATTTGGGGTTGATAGAAAGGTTCTATATGTTGATTTAGGTGGTATTGTATGATGATAAACATTTGTCAAAACTCATCAAATTGCATACAAAATAATGGTGAATGTTACTGTGTGTAAATTATACCTCAATAAAGCCAATCTTTTGCCTTCAAAAGGCAAAACAAATATAGGATGTCTGCCTAAGAACACAGAGTACATACTCTTCTAGGAAGTTTCAAATGGATCTCAAATCCATGCCTCTCTTTTTTGGACCTCACTGTCACACAAAACCCCTAACTGTAACTCCTGTGCTCGCTGTGAAAGAATTAATGCTAGTTGTGAAGAATTAATTTCACATTGAAGCTAATGTAGATATGCCAGAATAGCTGAGAAATATACTAACATAGCTTAGATCCTCTCAATATCACCTTGCTGGGAACTCTGAAGTAAAATGTAACTCTATGTCTTTGGCAGGGTATGGGAAAAATGAACAAAAAAGATACAGATTTCAAGAACAGGATGAAAAACAAAATTTAAAAGTCAATCGAATTTATGAGCTTAGCTATAAAAACCCTAAATAAAATATTAGAAAACCATATCCACAATCAACGCCCATGGAAGCAGCAATCAAGAAATCAAACCACATACTGCATTGGGCAAATCTGCTGCAAAAAGACCTCTTTAAAGTGTTAAAAAGCAAAGATGTCACTTTGAGGACTAAGGTGCACCTGAGCTAAGCCATGGTACTTTCAATCAAGTCACATGCATATGAAAGCTGGACAACAAATAAGAAAGACAGAAGAAAAATTGATGCCTTTGAATTACGGCACTGGTGAAGAATACTGAATACACTACGGATTGCCAGAAGAACAAACAAATCTTTCTTGGAAGAAGTAGAGTCAGAATGCTCCTTAGAAGCTAGGATGGTGAGACTTCATTTTACATACTTTGGACATGTTATCAGGAGGAGCCATTCCCTGGAGAAGGACATCATGCTTGGTAAAGTAAAGGGTCAGCAAAAAAAGAGGAAGACCCTCAACAAGATGGACTGACACAGTGGCTGCAACAATGGGCTCAAACACAGCAATGACTGTGAGGATGGATCAGGACCAGGCAGTGTTTCAGTCTGTTGCACTGAGGGTCGCCATGAGTCCAAACTGAACCAACTGGAAAGCACCTAAGAACAGCAACATATTCAATACGTGAAGAGGATTTATCATACTATAAGCAAGTTACGTTTGGAGCCCTGGTGGTGGAGTGGTTAAGAGCTCGCCTGCTAACCAAAACATCAGCAGTTTGAATCTACCAGCTCCTTGGAAACCCTACGGGGCAGTTCTACTCTCTCCTAGAGGATCGCTATGAGTCGGAATAGACTTCACCGCAATGGGTATAACGGATAAGTTACCTTTACTTCCGCAATGCACGCATAGTTTAATAAGAACGATATAATCACCTCAAAAGATGAAAAAAAAAGGCATTTTTTCTATTGTTTAAACTTTTCTGTATGATTGAACTTATTCAGTATAAAACCTTGGGAAACAGAGCATCCCAATGCTTATTACACATCCAAATCATGGCCCTCCTGAAGTCTCCTTCGTTCCAACCCCATCAGCCTCTCCCATTCCTGAGGCCCATGTTGACCCCCAACTCGGCACCTTCTTCTCGCTACCATTCACAGCTCCCCAGACACCGACTTCCACGAGGACCCCAACACACGACGCTCCAGGTCCGCACACACCCGGACCACAGAAGCCCTCGATGACTAACCAGCCCCTGCCCTCACTGACCATACTCCGGAGGTCCCCTCGTTCTGTGGCTCTCCCAACTTCTCTCCCCAGCGTAAGGGACACGATATGAACCATCCGCCCCCTCAGTGTCACTGCTCAAAGCGCCCCAAGCCCCCACGAAGCCGCCTTAGCCAACTCCCCACGAGTACCCTTCACAAGCCATATGCCAAGTCACGGAATCCCCACAAAGCCAGATTCCTAAAGTCTTCACAGAAATCCAAAGTAACCTAAAACTTATAGACCCGGGATCTCATGACCCAGAAGGCCAAAATTTATACGTCACTTCCGCTTCCGCTCACAGGTCTTGTTGTCCCGCGTCTTGTGCTGTTACGCTGACTTAGTAGTACCTCGGAAGTGCGGATTCTCAGCCTCCAAGAATTATCGTTAAGCAATATGGCCGCTCCGCTTTCTTAGATTGGGGGAGCACAGGGATTGAATTGGCCTGAAAATGGAGCAAAATGGGTCGTTTTCGATTGCTTCTCATTGTCCTGTGCCTTGCGCATAAGGCGTTAGACAACTTCGCCCTCCGTACGGCAACTGGTGGGGAAATGGCCGCTCCCGGCACGTATCCGCGAACGGGGCGCTCGTATATTGCGTAAGAAAGGGCCGTTCCAAAGCCAGATTACGAGTTTCTGGAAAGACGCCAGATGGCCCTAGTAGACCGCCGTCCGCAAAGCTTTTGAGAGTCCAGTCTGCCTCGGAGGTGGGACCGTGGGATGGGGGTGCACAGAGAGAAAGTGTTTAGATAAGTGAGTTCCGGGATTCGTCTCTAGCGGTAGAGACGGAGGTCGTCGGTCAGGTCAGTTTCCTGCCCAGGGGGAGCGCGTTGCGGGTGTTCAGTCGGGAGCTAGTAGGAGTCGGTGTTGTGGGATGTGAGTAGGAGTCTCCATGGGGTAGAGGGTTTTCTGTTAGGGGATCAACTGGGGGATCCGTTTTGGGGGCTCCCTGTGCAAGGGGAGCTCGCAGGGTTTCGCGTTGGGACGTGTCGGGGGGTCTTCTCGAGTAGCGCGTGAAGGGTTGTCTGCGTTGGGGTGTCCGTGATTGGAGAAGTGAGTCTTGGGGGTCAGTGTTGGGGGCAGCGTTTGGAGAGTTCCGTGTTTATTGTTTACCATATGTTTACTTTTAGGATGTCGTTTCTGGCTCTTTTCTCTCCAAGCTTGCTGTACATTCATATTGAAAATTTATCCTCAGGTTCATTCTGACCAAAGTAATGACAGCCCTGTCAACCAAAATATTCCTCTAGAAAACAACTCGTGTTAAAATTTAGCATGTGTCACTTTTAGCATGGGCGTCAGGTGCTGAGGCATTGGTATAATTTTAAACACTTCTCGGAAACCCTGGTGGCGCAGTGGTTAAGAGTTCGGCTTCTAACCAAAAGGTCGGTGGTTCGAATCCACCAGGCGCTCCTTGAAAACCCTGTGGGGCAGTTCTACTCTGTCCTATGGGGTCGCTATGAGTCGGAATCGGCTCGACAGCAACGGGTTTGGTTTTTACATCCTATGATAACCAATTAAATATTATTTTGAAAGTTGTCTTTCTCTGTTTTTTTAAACTGTAGTAATGTTCCATCAAGTGGGTGCTTTAATTTGGGTAGATTTCACTTGGATCGAGGTATAACATTTTCAGAAATTTGTGTTGCGTTTCCATCAACCTAAGTTTTTTGTTTCTTTTGACCTGCTGTGGTGTTTTTCTAATGTGTCTTGAACATTTCTGGTTATGTTTATTTCTACATAATTTATACTTCTATTGTAATTGTAAATTTTTTTATATGATCTCACACTCCCTTTTTTGTTTTCTAATGTTACATAATATACTAAAGCAAAAGTTGTGGGGTTTTTTGATTATTTAGTTATCCACTCTTTCTGCTTATGTTACAGCTAATAGCTTTTAAATTGATTTCTTTATTTTTTCTAGTTGGGCATTTTCATCATCTGCAAATAATTTTGGCCAGATGGCAAGTTCATGGACTCTGGAGTGAGAATAACCAGCTTCTGGCCCTGATTTGGGTAAGTTACTCAATCTCTGTTTCAGTTTCCTCGCTTGTGAAAATATTCATCGTGATTCCTACTTTTTAAGATTAAGTGAGCAAAAGTTCTCTAATTACAAGTGTAGTGCCTGGCACTTTGTATAGTCTGAATAAATGGAAATAGTGATTTACCAAGTTTCTTTTCTTCTTTCACAGGAGGCTGTTTTACTTTAAAATTATTATTATTTTCCCCCCTTTGTCTCTTGCTCTAAAAATTTCTTTATGATGCTAGATTTCTCAATATATTACATTCCTAGGAAAAAACCATACTTGTCCCTCATGATTAGCTCTTTTAAAACAATGCTGAATTCTATTTGCTAATATTTTATTTAATATTTTTCCATCTAAAAGTGAAAAGATATCTTGGATTTGCTTTAAAATAATCCAGTGATGGAGAAGGGTGAGTAGTTGTATAGATAAAACAATATTAGGTTTGAGTTGATAATTGTTAAAGCTGCATGATGGGTATGTGGAGTTTGATTATATGGTTCTTTTTTTTCTACATGGGATTTAATATTATTATTCTTTTGCTTGAAATTTTTTGTAATAAAAACTTTAAAAATTTTTTTGCATCTACATTTGTAAGTGAAATTGATCTGTAGATTTCTTTAAAATGATTTTTCAAGTATAACACTGATAAAAGAATATTACAGCACCCCAGAAGCCACCATCTCATCCTCATCTCCATCCTCCTCTCCAGAGATAATTATTATCCTAACTTCTGACATCAAAGTAGATTTGCCTGGTTTTTAACTTTATAGAAATGGAAATGGTGTCTGGCTTCATTTTGCTCAATATTTTGTTTGTAATATTTATCTAAGTTGTTGCGTACAGCAGTATTTCATTTCTGTCTATTGCTGTATAGTATTTCATTGTATGATTATACCCCAATTTGTATCCATTCTACTATTAGTAGACATTTGAGTTGTTTCTGACTCGTAGCTATTGTGAATAATGCTGCAGTGAACATTTTTGTATATGTTCTTTGCTTCATAAAAGTTATATTGGATATACACCTGGAAGTAGAATTCCTGGGGTATAGAGTGTGCTATACAAGGAGAAACTACAAATCCCTAGTTTCTTGACATACTTCCCACACTAACTGAGACAACAAGTAGACAACAAACTAGCAGGGGTCAGCACATTTTTTTGTAAATATTTTATGCTCTTCATATCAGACAGTTATTTTCCTCATCTACTCAACTCTGCCATTGTAGTGTGAAATAGCTGTGGAGAATAGTTAAACAAATGGGTATAGGTGTTTTCCAATAAAACTTTATTTGCAAAAACATATCTTTCGCCGGCCACAGTACCAACCACTGAGAGATAAAGTAATATGTTTAACACACTTCACCAATATAAAGCACTGCACCCAACGTTTTTTCTCAAATGTAGATAAAACATTTATTAAAAAGTTGCTATATGGTGGGCCATAAAACAAGTCTAAACACATTTCAAGGGACTGAAATCATACCAAACATTTCCTCTGACAGTGGAATTAAGTTATAAGTCAATACCAAAATAATAACTAGAAAATCCCCCATGTCTTTAGTAATTAAACCATATACTTCTAAATAATCCATGAACTCCAAAAAATCATGACACACTGCTACTTAGGAGGCACATTACCCTGGACAACACATTTCATCTCACCAAGCTTCAGCTTCAAATAAAACCCAAACCAGTTGCCGTCAAGTTGATTCCAACTAAAGTGGAGATAATAATGAGTACTTCATAGAGTAGAATTAGGATTAAATAAGACAGTGCTTATGGTTTGTTTAGTACTTTGGTCTTCAAACTAGGGTAATTGTCCCAGTGCCATACAAAAAAACTTCAGGAGTATATGGGCACAGATGATTTTACATCAGTTTCCAAAGCTGCCACATATGTATGTTGCCTTTACTAAAGTGAATCTATATGAGAATTTATCAGCGGACAAGATCATGAGTTGAATTTGGTTTCCAGTCTCCTCTTTCACATCTACTGTATTCTGACTTGGAGAAAAAAAAAAAAACATTCATCTTACCCATTCCATATTTTCCTATGGAGACTGCCCTGTGATGTAAAAGCTTCCAGGCAGTTAAAGAGGCAGAAGACATACTGGGGCCTTATATTAGAGTGAGTCCATATGGCAAGAGAGGCCAAAAGTTGTGGCCCCAGGTGTATGTCTTATAATTGAATTTGCTATGGAATCCACAGGATCAAGACCTTTTGTGTGATAGAAGAAGGAGGAGATTCCAGGCTTGGGAGATCATTGTTTCTGGTAACAGATGGACCTGAGATATCTGACCACAACTTCCAAAAAGGCCCAGAGAAGACAGAAGACAGAACACTCCCTAGAGTTACTAGTCCTTTCTTAAGAACAGAATAAAATGACCAAGGCCCAGGTGAGGTTTGTTAGCCCTATTTTACCCTTGTTTCCCAATGGATTTGTGGAAGCTTATACAAGACAGCTTGATTAAATGAGACAGGATACGGAGATAAAAATTAGGATCTGTCGGAAAATTAAGTTACAATCTTAAAATTAGGACAAATTAGGAACTGAAATATGGAGACCATAGAGTTCGTGCAAAGTTCTTATCATTGGAACATAGATGAGTAACTGGGTAAGAGCCTGTGGGTAGCCTTACATATAAACTTATATCTGCAGTTCTTTATTTAGCAGTTATAATAACATGAAAAGTTACATGATTTGCATTGTCTGTGAAAAGGCAAACCAGTTCTTCATGGGAAGTGAACATTTTGTTGTTCTTGGGTGTTAAAAATTCCTCAGAGTAAACTAAGGGGTGATGCCAAAGCAAAACTTGACTGGAAAAATTTCTTCAAAATCAGTGTAGTTTGACAATAGAACCTCCTGATAAGTCTGATTTTATCCAGTAATAAAGCCTGGATTATCCAGTAGAACGAATGTACTACTCGGCCTTCAACTAGTCATCCATGGAGGTTATTGATTTGGCAGGAGACAGATGCGGGTTCCATTATTTGATAAAAACTTGAAGTACAGATATTGACAGTGCTCCCTTGATACCTTCTTTAACCCCAAGTTCAAAAAAATGAAGTCAGAGCCAGTTATTCCTTTTTTTTTTTTTAAATAACTCAAATGATACATTTTCATGCAAGAAATTTAAGCAAACAGGAGTATTTGTAGAAAAAGAGAATATCCCCTGTTTTTTCCTGCCCAACTACCAACCCAAAGGTAACAAATATGAATAGTTTGGGTCTCCATCCAGTCTCTTTGTGAATTTACGTGTGGTAGAGTATATCTGTACTTACGTGTATACTTACATAGGCTTCAGTACACATACACGTACTTATACAGATAAAATTCTATGTATTAAGGACTTCTACATGTTTGGATCATAAAATACATATATTACTTGTGGGCTTGAATTTTTTCATTTAAGAATGCCTTGGAGTCAGTGTGGATACATCACCTCATTGATCTTAATGTTTGTATGGTATAGAGGTGCTGTAATTTTATCCTCTCTTCTTCTGATGGAAAGTTAGATTATGGATAGTTTTTCACTATTATAACAGTGAAATGATGAACATTGTTACTGCACATTGTTGTACATCTATGTAAATACTGCTTTAGTAATTTTTTTAGGCTTGGAAGAACTAACGGGGAAATCCATGTCCTATGGTAGCTGAAATATCGCAGTGTGCACAATTTATCGTGGGGCAAATGAGCAGAATGTGTTCCTGTCCGTCTTTTCCACATCATGTATTGATATCCATCTCAGATTGCGTTGGAATGTGTTATTCCAGGGATCGTTATCATTCAAGGATGTGGCTGTGGGCTTCACCTGGGAGGAGTGGCAGTTATTGGACCCGTCTCAGAAGGACCTGTACAAGGAGGTGATGTTGGAGAACTACAACAACTTAGTATCAGTAGGTAAGGACAGCATCACGGGGTCACCCACTGTGGGCTTCATCAATTCTTTTCTTTCTCATTTGGTGAAATCTTTAGGGTCCCATGAATATTTAGTGTTTGGACTAAAGAACTGGAGGTCAGAGACTTTTATTCTCATCAGTGACCCTACAGTGTATTCTTTCCCCTGCTGAGTAAAAGGTTTTTACTTAGTAAAACACAAATAACACGGTCCCTGAAATATAATTTTCTCCAGTTTCCATAGCTTCTCCAAGCATAAATATTTGGTGCCAGGTGTTCAGTGATTTCTTATTACAGGGTACCCCGCTACCAAACCAGATTCAGTCTTCATGTTGGAGCAAGGAGTACCACCATGGATAGTGGAGGGAGTAATCCACAGTGGGACCAGTCCAGGTGAGTGAGTGACAAGCCAGACAATGGGCAGAAATGACACCAAAATCCAAGGTGGTCAGTAAAAGGTCAATACTTTTGAGATGTTTTTTATAGAACTTTTCTTGCACCAGCTGGTACCCCAGAAAGCTCAACACGTTCAGCATCTCTTCTTTACTAGGGCTGTTTTCCTTTGCCTGTTATTAAAGAACAGTGTCTTCCCTTTTGTTCTTTCTTCTGAATCTGATCACAGTTTGTCCATGTAGGACCTTGATTTCTTGCCTGGTTCCATTCTTTCCAGCATCCTCAAATCTTCTCCTTTTCTTCTGAGGCAGTCTCACTTCTTGTTGTCCACCTTCCTTGCTGTGAAAACGCCCCTCTCATCTCCTACAGCTAACCTTGCACTCAGCACTGCTGTGTGCTTGTTCATATCTCTGTCCCTTTTGAAAGGGTTGATTTCCCCTCCTGACAGTCCACCTTAGCTTAGTTCATATAAAAACCATACACCTCATCTCACGGGGTAAGTATCTGCTTATTCTCATTCCTTCCTTTCCGTGTTTTTTTTTTAATCTTCTATTTGATTCTCATAATAAAAATTTAATTCATTCACAAAGTCTAAGCTCTCTGTTCTCTGGTGGAGACTCCGAAATTGACACTTCCTCTTCTAATACCTAATCCACACTCCATCCTCTGAATTCTTCCAGCCACAGGGCAGCTGCTGCATGATTTTCTACTTTCTATATGAAAAACTAGAATCCTCCTTTCTCCCAGATAATTCGTTTTCATCATCATGGAATGTAGTCATATGAACTTGTAATATCAGTGCAATTCTGTTCTGATATGAACTACAGCATTAGTTCTTCTAAACCTAACTTCTTGGAGTTAGGTCCAGACTTCACACATTAAGAGATAACAGTCCTCCAGAGTGCCCTGTGTATCCAGACTTCAGATGCCAGCCACAGGCTCAGGGTTTTCCAGGACACCCACACTTCTGACCAACTGGCTGTAAATTTGGGCGTTCTCACAACTCTCTGAGGTTCAGTAATGCACTAGAACAATTCATAGAACTAAGGAAAGCACTATACTTACGATTCCTCATTTTATAGCAAAAAGGATATAAAAGAAGAGACACATAGGGTGCATTGATGTCCATCACTAATGAGTAAGCTCACCTGAGCTTCACTGTCCAGAGTTTCTACTGGAGTTTTATTATGTAGGCCTCATTGTTTGAATCATTGACCACATGATTGGACTGAATCTCTAGCCCCCTTCCCCTCCCTGGAGGTCATGCTGTTATCATATGGTGGTTCTTTCTGGTGTTGCCAGTGCCCTTTCTGAGCCCTCTCAGTGTTTAGAGGTTATTTCCCAGGAACCAGGGACAAAGACTAAATTCTTTGCATAAAGTAGTTCTTCATCCTACATTACTGAAGATTTAAGATGTCTGTACTTTGATAGATACTCGTAAGTAAATAGAACTCCTAAGTCCTGATCCTTCTCATTCGAGTTGGCTCAGTTCTTATCTTCTAAATATATGTGGACTTCTTGCTTTTTCAACCAACACTAACTCCTCATAGTTCTCATCAAATTCCACCGTGTTAACGCTCCTTACCCAGAGATGCTCCACACACCTGTCAGTTTGTCATACTGTGGTGGCTTGGAAAAAAATTCAAGCATCAAGTTACAATTTTGAAAGGCAAAAATATTGAACAACACAGGAAGCATCAAAAGAAGATGGAAGGAATACACAGAGTCACTGTACCGAAAAGAATTTGTTGGCATTCAACCATTTCAGGAGGTAGCATGTGATCAAGGACCAATGGTATTGAAGGAAGAAATCCAAGCTACACTGAAAGCATTACTGAAAAATAAGGCTCCAGGAATTTATGTAATATCACTTGACATGTTTCAACAAACAAGTGCAGCACTGAGGTACTCATCTATGCCAAGAAATTTGGAAGACAGCTGCCTGGCCATCCAGCTGGAAGAGAGCTGTATTTGCACCCATTCCAAAGAAAGGTGATCCAACAGAATGCAGAAATTATCGAACAATACCACTAATATCACAACACAAGTAAAATTTTGCTGAAGATAATTCAAAAATGATTGCAGCAGTACATTGACGGGGAACTGCCAGAAATTCAAGTCAGATTCAGAAGACGATGTGGAACGAGGGATATCATTGCTGATGTCAGATGGATCTTGGCTGAAAGCAGAGAATACCAGAAAGATGTTTACCTGTGTTTTATTGACACTGCAAAGGCATTTGGCTGTGTGGATCATAACAAATTCTGGATAACATTGCAGAGAATGGGAATTCCAGAACACTTAATTGTGCTCATGAGGAACCTGTACATAGGCCAAGAGGCAGTCCTTAGAACAGGAGATTCTGCGTGGTTTAAAATCAGGAAAGGTGTACATCAGGATTGTACCCTTTTACCATACTTATTCATTGTGTATGCTGAGCAAATAATCTGAGAAGCTGGACTATATGAAGAAGAACGCGGCATCAGGATTGGGGGAAGACTCATGAACAACCTGCAGGATGCAGATGATACAACCTTGCTTACTGAAAGTGAAAAGGACTTACAGCACATACTGATGAAGAGCGAAGACTACAGCCTTCAGTACGGATTATACCTCAACATAAAACAAAAATCTTCACAGCTAAACCGATAAGCAGCATCATGATAAACGGAGAAAATATTGAATTTGTCAAGAATTTCATTTTACTTAGGTCCACAATCAATGCCCATGGAAGCAGAGTCAAGAAATCCAACAATGTATTGCATTGGGCAAATCTGCTGCAAAAGACGTCTTTTAAGTGTTGAAAAGCAAAGATGTCACTCTGAGGACTAAGGTGTACCTGACCAAAGCCATGATACTCAGTCACCACCTGTGCATGCAAAAGCTGGATATTGAATAAGAAAGAGCAAAGAAGAATTGATGCCTTTGGATTATGGCATTGGCGCAGACTATTGAACATACCATCGACTGCCAGAAGAACAAACAAATCTGTCTTGGAAGAAGTACAGCCAGAGTGCTTAAACAAATCATTTATTTTATAAGGATTAGCACAAAGCTGGTTCCTATGAGGTGGAGGTTAAAGATGTCCCAAATGTCCCAACTTTTCCAAGCTGCTGTACCACTCCATCATCTCTAACATCAGCTACTCCCTTTCCCCTCAGCACTCTCCCTCCCATCTTTGGGTTCTCTTAATTTGGTGCAACATCTCACAGAACTCACAAACTGTATAAAGGAAATGTATTATGCAGTTGTGGAGGCTGGCAAGTCCCAAATACTTGAGTCAGGCATAGGTTTCCCCTGACCCACGTGGCTGCAGGGGCTGACGAACCCAAACCAGCAGTTCAGACCACAGGCTGCTGGCTCACAAGGTTGCGGAAGCTGGCAAATCAAGTCACATGATAGGCCGCCGGCCCAATGGGCTTTGGAGGCTAGCGAACCCCGGAATCGGCAGGTCAGACAGCGGGCCTCTGGGGAGGTCAGATGATCATGAATCAGATGCAGGATCCAGATGCAGAGAGAGAGAGCCTCACCAGGACACACACATATATGTTAGATGCAGGTCACACCCCAGGGAAGGGCATAACTTTAGTAAAGGTGGGGCTTGAGTCACACCGTCCTGCAAGGCTGTGACCCAAGACACCCCTTATACCTGTCCTGCCCCATCAACATGTAGAGGTCAGGATCCACAACACATAAAACGGAGGACAACCACACAATACTGGGAATCATGGCCTAGCCAAGTTGACCTATAATCCGAACCATCACTGGTACCATATACCTTATTTGCATAGTCCCACTCAGTCACTGTGTGTGAGTCACAAAGACCATGGCTAGAAGGGCCATATTAAGTAATTTATTGCACGACAGTGCTCCTTTGGAAGCGAGGATGGCATGACTTTGTCTCATATACTTTGGACATGTTATCAGGAGGGACTAGTCTCTGGAGAAAGACATCATGCTTAGTAAGGTAGAGGGTCAGCAAAAAAGAGGAAGACCCTGAATGAGAGGGATTGATAGAGTGGCTGCAACAATAGGCTCAAACATAGCAATGATTGTGAGAATGGCACAGGACCAGGCACTGTTTCATTCTGTTGTACATGGGGTCACTATGAGTCAGAACCTACTCAATGACACTTAACAACAACAACACCCAGAGATGAATGCAGCCATGACATCAAAAGGAACGAACAGAAAAATCGAAATCAACGTATGTAGGAACTGGGGCAATGAAGCATACATCATGGTCTAGTTTGATGTGGGAACTGAGAGTGTGGAATTTTCAGAAGGCCTTTTCAAAACTAGAAAAAATAATAAAACAGCAGAGACCTTCACAATAGAGAAGAATAGATAGGTAAGGCAGCACAAAGGTGGCCAGGCACCAGTGTGCAGGGCAGTTTAGCAGAACATAAATAAAATGCCCAAGGGAAAAAAAAGATTATCTGAGAGGAAAGAGGATCCCAGTTTCTGATACTAAAGCTGAAGCAAGTAGGATTTCACAAGATAATTCTGGGTGCAGGCAAAATACAGAATTAGAGGGCAGGTTATACTACAGAAAAGAAATGTCCCAGAAACAAGTGTCAAAATTGTTCGAAGGAGGAGGCAGTAGTATATTTTGTTGAATGCTATAGATAATATCGAGTATCATGAGGATTGGCATCTTCGCATTTGATCATGCTACAGATTCTTTGTTTTATTTTTTTAATACTTTATTTTTGTTGTCGTTGTTGAGAATATACATAGCAGAACGCACACCAACTCAGCAGTTTCAACATGTAAAATTAAGTGACGTTGATTACGTTCTTCAATTTGTATAACCATTTTCACCCTCCTTTTGTGAATTGTTCCTCCTCCTTTAACATAAACTCACTACTCCTAAGTTTCCTATCTACCCTATTGAGTTGCTGTTGTCAGTTTGATCACAATACTCAAGGTAGACAGTATGCACTAATAAGCTAAACTATTTAAAGAATTTTCTATCCAGATACTGCCTTTTTTCAATTTCAGCTTTTTTTTTTTTTTAATCTCTGTGAATTTTTTTTTGACTATGCCAGTATGCACTTGGAACACCTTCTTTCCTGAATTTTAAGTCTACTTTGTATCCTACCACACTAGCTCAGTCATGATCATATGTTATATGGCATTGTTTTTACTGGTTGGTGTGAGGTTTCTTGGTCGATATAGAAAGAAGGATCTGTATATTACTCTTCCTTAATCAAGTGTAGATGACATAGTAATTCGCTGGCAACATCACTTGCATCCATTCATCACATCTTTCTTGAATATAGGCTTGGTTTGATTCTATTGCATTTCATTTTTGTTTTAATTTTTATTTTGCATTTTAATCAGGGATGTGTGTAGATTATGTGGAAGCTTTTACAGACTATAAGCTTTATCTCTGGAGATTTTGTTTCTGAGTTGTTAGATAGAAACCAGAAAACCAAACCTGTGGCCGTTGAGTTGATTCCGACTCATAGCAACCCTATAGGACAGAGTAGAACTGCCCCATATGGTTTCCAAGGAGTACCTGGTGGATTCAAACTGCCGACCTTTTGGTTAGCAGCCATAGCTCTTAACCAATACGCCACCAGGGTTTCCTTGTTAGATACAGGAGGGACATAAGCATATCAAGTTGGAAAGGCTTCTTAGGCAATTCCGCTTTCACCCTTGTAGTTGAAGACCACCACTCTATATATATCAAGAGACATTCAGATATAATAAAAGACATAAATGCCTCCCAAGACTACCGTCTCAAGCTTGATGATCCTCACATTGGAGCACTTGATTCCCCTAAATAACAAACCTATCCCTATAATCTTTCTCATTTTATTATATACCATCAACTCTTACATAGCTGCTTAAGCCTTATACCTAGAAGCTATCCTGAGTCTTTCTTTTTACTATCTCTGACATTCATTCCAACAGTGAGTCCTGTCTTTCCTCCTCCACAGTAGTTACTCTGATTTTGCACATTTCCCCATCTCCGAGGTAAGTCAGTCATGCGCAAGCTACTGTTATCTCTTGCCTAAACTCTACCATAGCCTCCTTTCTTTTCTCTTCTACATTTTCATCTCTCCAGTTCGCTCTCTGTAAGATAGCCATGTGACCTTTTGAAACTATCAATTCAGAACATGTTTTCCTGCCAAAAAGTGTTCAGTGACTTGCTGCCATTGTTCTTAGCATAAATTCAGTTTCTTTGAAAGTCTTCCTACAAGAGCTGCATACTCTCAATTCTACCTTTCCAGATATATCTAGTCCTGCTTCATCAAGCTCAGGATATTCCAGGTACACCAGCCTATCTTAGGTTTCTTGATCATGCCCAAGATTTTTCTGCCTCTGGGTTTTTGCACTGGCTGTTTCTTCTTGTTGGAATGTTCTTCATCTAGTTCTTCGCATAATGGTGCTCATTCTTATCCTGTGAGGTCAGTTCATCTTTCCATCTCTTATGGATGATTACTTTATCTCAGATTGACCTATACTTCTCTGTCACCTTCTTCATATTATTTTTCACATTCTGTAATTTTCTTATTTCTTTACTTACCTGGTGATTTTTTTTTCCAACTAGAATGACAGCTCCATGAAGACAGAGAATATGTTAGTCACTCAAACATCCCAAACACCAGCTTGTTCAATAAATGTTTGTTGAATGAACTGATCCATCCCCTACAATCCTGGATCAGATTTCTCTTCATCTTCTTTTGTTCTATTCCAATAGTAATATTTTTCTATTACTACTTCTGTCTCCATTTTGCAAGGTCCTGTTTGGAAAGTAGCCCATGTTCTATTTATTCATTGTAGACTATCCATCATTGTTTCTACAGTAGATTTTTTTTTTTCTTTTTCTGTTCTATAATACTGTTGTTTGGGGTTTTTTTTCCCACAGAGCATAGGGTGCATTTCCATAAGGTGTGTTTCTCTTAGACTGGGATCTTATAAAACCCAGCCTTAAACCATGGGATTTTTGTATCTTTTTTATGGATGTTTTCATTTTTCTTTTTTCTAGAAGAAATATGGGCAACTGACCAAATGCAGTGGCAACCAGAAAACCAAAATGAGCTTAAAAGTTTGGAAAGATGTCAGCAAAATTATGCATTTGGAAATAATCTTGACTTAAGCAAAAATCTAGTTCCTGTAAAACAAAAACAGAATACATTTGGTTCACATTGTAAAAGTTTGAAATCTCCTTTAGATTTTGTTATTCAAAATAGAAGAGATGCAGAAAAGGATTCTGATGAGTTTAGTGGATATGCGAAATCATCTGTCCACATGAAGCATGATAGAACTTTTCCTGGAGTTAAGTACCATGGATGTATTAAACCCAGTAGCACGAAGTCACAGCCTAATGACCACCCAAAAACTTATACAGGAGAGAAAGCACATGAATGCAGTAAATGTGGAAAAGCATTCTCCAGGAAGGCACAACTTATTAGACATCAGAAAACTGAAAGAGGAGAGAAACCCCACAAATGCAATGATTGTGGGAAAACATTCATGAGGAAGATTCAGCTCACTGAACATCAGAGAGTTCACACAGGGGAGAAACCCCACGAATGTAATGAATGTAGGAAAGCCTTCTCCAGAAAGTCACAGCTGATGGTACATCAGAGAACTCATACAGGAGAGAAACCGTATGTATGCAGTGAATGTGGAAAAGCCTTCATCAGGAAGTGCCGACTCAACAGACATCAGCAATCTCATACTGGAGAGAAACTCTATGGATGCAATGAGTGTGGGAAAGCCTTTTCCCAGAAGGCATACCTCATTGCACATCAGAGACTCCACACAGGAGAGAAGCCTTATGAATGCAGTGAATGTAGAAGAACCTTCTTTTTTAAATCAGACCTGACAAAGCATCAAAGAATTCATACAGGGGAGAAACCTTATGAATGTAGTGAGTGCGAAAAAGCCTTCAGAAGCAAATCAAAGCTCATTCAGCATCAGCGAACTCATACCAGAGAGAGACCGTATGGATGCAGTGAATGTGGCAAAGCTTTTGCCCATATGTCAGTCCTCATTAAACATAAGAAAACTCATAGCAGAGAGAAAGCAATAAATTCACTAAAGGTGAGAAAACCTTCCTCAGGGAGTCATAGCTCTTTATACATGAGTGAACTCTTACAAGAGCAAAACCCTGTGAATACGGCACCCATGGAACTGTCTTCTGCAGGAACTCAGCCCTTATTGAACATCAGTGAGCTCCTAGGGGGTAGAAATGTAGTGACTGTAGAACAGCCCTTTTCAAGAAGTCCAGCCTTGGTAAATAATCGGGAATTTCCCCAGGAAATAAACCTTGTAAATGCAGTGAATGTGACAAGACCTTCAGTAATAAATTATGTCTTGTATGTTACAGATACTATATAGAGGAAAAAAACTTTGGATACCAGAAATGTGAAAAAGCCTTTTTAGCAAGGATTCCCTACACACTGTATATCAGAGAGCTCATTTAGGACAGGAACACTGTATACAGTTGGTGTTGAGGAGCCCTCTGTGGTTAGACTTATTAAACATCAGTTAGATCATACTGGGTAGAAATGTAGCTTAGTTGGGTAAGCCTTTGCCTGGAGGTAAGATCTCCATTGCTGTCACACATTCTTACAGGTCCAGAACCTTAGGAAAGAATATGATGGTGTTTTCACTAATAAATTTTACCTCATTACATGTCAGAGAAACATAAAAAATTCAGACACTGAATGTGGAAAACATTTTTGATAAAATGTGGAAGAACTCATAAAAGAGAAACTCCTGAAAGCAATAAATTATGGAAATTCTATCACCAGTCTAACTCATATATCACATACCTTGGGAATCTGGAAAAAGCTTCTCCAATAAATTAACTCTTTGTGAACACCAGGAATTGTGTAATGAAAAACCATGATATAGTAAATGTGGAAATACAACTGTATTTTTATTATTGCGGTAACAAATTACCACAAATTGGGTAGCTTAAAACAATACAAATTTACTGTCTTACAGTTATGGAGTTCAGAAGTCCAAGTGGTTCTCACTGGGCTAAAATTAAGGTGTTGGCAGGGCTGCATTCCTTTTTAGAGGCTCTAGGGGAGAACCAGAGGAGCCTTGGTGGTGCAGTGGTTAAACGCTTGGCTGCTAACCAAAAGGTCGACAGTTCAAACCCACCAGCCACTCCATGGGAGAAAGATTACAGCTTGGGAAGCCCTATGGGGAAGTTCTTCTCTGTCCTATAGAGTCGCTATGAGTTGGAATAAACAGCAGTGGGTTTGGTTGTTTTTTGTTTTTTTTTAAGGAGAGAATCTGTTTCCTTGCCTTTCCCAGCTTCCAGAAGCTGCCTATGTTCCTAGGCCAATAACTCCCTTTTATCTTCAAAGTCAGCAGTGGCTGGTCAAGTCTCATCACTCTGACACTGAGTCCTCTGCCTCGTTCGCCCACATTTAAGGACTCTTGATTGGGCCCGCTGGGATAATCTTGGATAATTTCCCTTTTTTAAGATCAGCTGATTAGCAGTCTAACCTTCATCTGCAACATTAAGTCTCCTTTGCCATGTAATGGAACATATTCACAGTGTCCAGGAATTAGGACATGGACATCTTTGGAGGCCCCTCTTCTGCCTGTGGCAGTCCATCCTCTGGTCACCAATGATTCATGTCCATTCCACATTCAAAATACATTCACCCTATTCCAACATACCCAAAAGTCTCAATCTGTTACAGCATCAACTCAAAGTCCAGAATTTCATCATAAATCTTATTCCAAAAGTCTCAAATATCTAATAAATAGGCTATAGTTGAGATCCTCGTTACGGATTTATCTTGGGCACAACTCTCCTTAACATGAACCTGTGAAACAAATGAAGTTACATGGCCCCAAAATAGTTAATTACACCTGCTATCTTAATTCTCAGAGACCTGGTGGCACAGTTGTTAAGAGCCCAGCTGTTAACTAAAAGGTCAGCAGTTCAAATCCACCAGCCACTCCATCACAATTTCGTTGGATTACAGAGAATTCACATTGCAATAAATCCCTACCTAAGCATTAAGTAAACGCGGAAAAGCATGTCCCAGAGAATTAATGACCTACGGTAATTATGATCTAAATACATTAACACTTTGCTATGATCAGTCTTATACTGTCCATTGGATATGGATACCATGGAATGCTGTTGAAATGTATAAATCAAATTATCGGCACTGGAGAAGAACTATTTTGAAATTTCCAAAGGAACATTAGATTCATGCTGCTGAAAATGCTCCAAAGCAATAAAAATTTGCATTCTGGAATTGCAGAATTCCTAATTTCCTAATAAAATCCTAATTCTGAGTATGGAATGTATATGCCATAAGACACCTACATACTGATTAACATTTTTCATGGCCATTTCAACAGTCTTTTAAATGGTGTTTAATGGATATGCTCTCTCACCCTAAACAACTAACAAAGTTGACAAAGTATATGAATTAACTTTTTTCAGATATTGGGTAATAGGGATTTCAGGACAGCAACTCCCAAGAAAAGGGAAACAAATGAAACGAGCCTTATGATTTCCCCAGCTTACTGCCTGGAATGAGTTTCCAGGCTTCGACATAGGAAGGAAGAACCCAAACAGATCCTAATGGTCTCCCTGAGTTGAAACAGAGTTACAGGAGGCCACCAAAACCAGTTGCTGTTGAGTTGATTCTGACTTATGGCAACCCCACATGTGTCAGAATACGTCTGTGTTCCCTAGGGATTTCTTTTTTTTTTTTTTTAATAAATTTATTTGCCACAATATTTACAAATGTGTATGAGAAACATTAGAGTTCTCAAATATACATGAAAATTATTGCAAAGTGAATTGACAAAAACAATTTATAATTCTCTTTCTAATGAAATGTGACCTGCTTGTGACCCTTTCTGTTCAACACTACTAACCTGTAAAATCTGCCTTTTTTGTATGATTGTGGTGAAAATACACACAACAAAACATATACCAGTTCAACAAGTTCTAGAGGTAGAAGTCAATGACATTGATTACATTCTTCAAGTTGTGCAACCGTTCTTGCTACCCTTTTGCAAATTATTTCACTACCATTAATATGTGCTCAATATGTAGGTTTTTTGATGGCTGATTTTTGAGAAATCGATTACCAGGCCTTTTTTCTGAGGTGCCTCAGGTGGCCTCAAACTTCCAGTCTTCCAGTTAGCAGCCAAGCAAATTAAACTTTTGCACAACTCAAGGACTCTTCCAGGAGGCCAGGGGGCTCAAATTAATGGGGCATAGTACTAGAGGAGAGAGAGATCCAGAGGTCTATAGTGAGTTCCCCCTCAAGTCTGTATAAGTTGTAATCAGCACATGCTTTTGATGAAACTACCCAGCTGTAGAAAGAACTGGAAATAAGCAGGCAGAATAATCATCAGAGCTTACACAGAGTTGGGAATAGTTTGTGTTCATACTAACTGGAATGGAAACTTTTCCTAACATTTGGGGAATAAAAGTGAATCTTCAGAAGAGTATTACCTGGGTCAAAGTAGGTCTAGGCTAAAAGCTGCTCTGGACTCACCTAACAAAGCATGAATGCAAGACTCTAAGGGTTCAGACTGTCTCCAAGAAATTTAACTGCTTCCCAGAACAAAGCCCAATAATCTTTAAAGGAGTAAAAATCCAGCACCCAGTAATGTAAAAAATTCACAATGTCTTGCATCCACTCAAAATTTACCCAGGCATGCAAAAAGGCAGGAAAATATAACCCATAATATGGAGAAAAGTCAATAGAAAGAGACCCAGAAATGACACATGATAAAATTAGTAGACAAAGATGTTCAAACAGCTATTATAAATATTCCATGTGACAAGAAGATGGAGGAAAGCAAGAGTTTGATTAAGCAAGAAATAGAAAATACAAAAAGGCCCCAAACCTGTTGCCATCCAGTCAATTCTGACTCAGTGACCCTATAGGACAGAGTAGAACTGCCCCATTGTGTTTCCAAACAGCAGCTGGTGGATTTGAACTGCCAGGATGCCACTTAACCACTGCACCACCAGGGCTCCTAAAAAAGGCCCCAGTCAGCTAGAAGTGAAAAATACGCTGGATGAGTATAACAGATTACAGCTTACTGAGGAAATGATCAGTGAACCTGATGACATAGTAATAGGAAAAAAGTGTCCAAAATGAAAGAGAGAGGAAAAAGATGGGAAAAAATAAATGAGCAGTGCATCACTGAGTTGTGGGACAACACCATGCAACCTAACATACATGTAATTAGAGTCCCAGAAGGAGAGGATACGGATAGTGGGACAGACAAAAATATTTTAAAAAATAGTGGTTGAAGATCTCCCAGATTTGATGAAAACTCTAAACCCAGAAATCCAAAAAACCAAGACAAACCACAAGCAGAAGAAACATGAGAAAAACCATATTAACAATAATCTAACTGTTGAAAGTGATAGAAAATCTTAAAAGCAGTCAGAACTGACACATGTACAAAACAAAGATAATAATGACAGCAGAATTCTTGTCTGAAAAAAGATAAGCCAGAAGGGGTTGCAGTAACATCATTAACTTGGAAGGAAAAAGCTATCAGAACACCTGCTTACTTTGTAATCTGGGTGAATGCACTCAGTTGATAAAAATATTTTTTACTTATCTTTTTTTCTCAATCCATGAAACATCCAACTATTTTCACTATTATTCTGACAATGTATTTGTTACAGTAGCCTCAGAGAATCAATACAATGAGGAATATTTTCTATGAATTAATGTGAGCTAATAGAGTGAAAGAATTGAGACAAAAATGACCATTTTGTAACCCCAGTGAAATAACTGATTCAGGCAATAATCAGAACTGTTGGGAATAGGTTATTTTCAAAATACCAAAGCAGATTATTTGCTATTTGCAAAGAGGGAACCTACCATTACAATGGAGAGATGTGGAGATCACTCTAACTGAATGATCAAATTTCCCATCACGAGCAATGGGACAACCTGGTATTAGACTCCTCTTGATGTGATGGGATACAAGGTGATGATGTACATTACTTATACAGCATTCTTGCCAGAAATGTTTGGCCCAAATCTAATCAACTTCAGATATAACTTCCATCCACAAAAAAATACGGAGAATAGAGGAACAAGCCAAAAACACAGAAGCGATCAGAGGAGCATAGAACGTGGGATGTTCTTTAAGACAATGGGCTTTGTTTCTTCAAAAAGTCAGTGTCATAAGAAAAAAAACATATGGGAGGGATAGCTTATATTAAAAGAGACTGAAAGGATATAACAACAAAATGGAATGTATTAACCTTGATTGGATCCTGGTTCAAGAAAAAGTTGTAAGAGTTGTTTTGGGGCAATTTGAGAAATTTGAAAATGGACTGCTATCATAGTATATCAGGAAATTACTGTTAATTTCCTTAGGTGTCATACAGATGTGACTTGTAGAATGTCTTTGTTATTAGGAGATTCAAGCTGAGGTATTTGAGAGTGAAATTCATAATGTCTGCCACTTACTTTCGAAGAGTTCAGTCAAAAAAAGTCAATGAGATAGATCGAAGATATATCTCCAAGGCCATCTGCACCCTCTGGTGGCTGAAAGGCTGATGGTTTACAACAGGGCTTCGAACCGCTTCATTCCAGTTTGAACCTCTGCTGAGAATTTGAATTTCTGCCCCAGATATACTGAATCAGAATCTACAGTTTAACAAGATCCCCAAGTGATTCTTATTTATAATAAATTGTGGCACCAGTGCTCTACTAGTGGTTCTCAGAATTGGCCCCTGACCATCAGCATTTGCATCACCTGGAACTTGTTAGAAATGCAAATTCTCAGCAGGTGTTCAAACCAGAATGAACAGGTTCAAAGCCCTGGTTTTCAAGGCTATTGCAGAGCTAGGGTAGGGGGATGGGTATAGGCCTAACTCCAGCTGCTGTTATTAAGGTTCAGTAGTTTTTCTCGAATAAATG